GACTGCCCAAGCCCCACAGGAGCCAGGGCCAGGCCTGAGACCCACTACCCTGGGCAGGGAGCCTGTAACCTCAGCCCTGCTGCCCAGGGTTCATGCTTCAGTTCGTCCTAAGCCAGCTCTGGCACCCCCATTAAAATGAGGTCCCCATCCACTTTGGGGCCCCGACCCACAGCTTGAGAAACCCATGCCCAGCGTTTCTTTTTTGGGCAGCGACTGAGCACCGTGTGCAGCTGCAAGTGTAATGTCGGTGCTATTTATCCACAAGGCAGGGAACGACAACGCACGCTCCTTTCGGGCCATCCCGACAAAAGACCCTCAGCCCTTATCTAGCAGGTTCCCTTCTTGTCAAATAGCTTAATTCCATGCTCGTCTGAGCGCCTGGCCTCTCTACAGAGATGGCCAAAGTAGCAGCCGCAGTTTGTGAGGGAGGTTTCTGCGATGAAGGCACTTTCGCTTGGTTTCCCTGCCAAGTCAGTTCACGCAGGCCACCGTGTAGCCATCCAGCTTTTGATGGCCTACTGTAACTCAACAAAATCAAACACCCCATCACAACCTGAGACGCAAGGAGTTTCTCTTTAAGGTTATAACAAGCCTAAAAGGGAAGGCGCCAAGAATGAGAAACATGCAACATCCTCCTTGCTGCCTCTGGTTAGAACCTTAAAGAGAAACTCCCTGTAGCTCAGGTTGTGATAGGTGCATTCAATTTTGTTGAGTTATAGTACGCCTTCAAAAGCCTGATGGCTACATAGTGGCTGTTCCAAAGTCAGAGTCTACCACGTAACCGGTAGGATCTATAATCAAGAGGACTGTTATTTACAGACATCTGGAAAAAGAGAAAGGTGTAAAATAATGTGAAGAAAATGCTGAGGTTAATTTTGATGCCAGATTTGAACTGCAAATCTACAGAGATCTGCTTTACATCCAGGAGTATCTGCATCCACGGATGTGGACATCCACAGAGTATTTTTGCTGATATGGATGCAAATATAAATTCTGTATCTAGAACCCTGCAAATTCGTGGATATCCACTTGACATCCATGGATGAGGATATCCACGGATATAAAAGCAGCTATCCGTGGCTCATTTTTGTGGCTATAGATGTGGATACAAATTTTGTAGCCGCACAGGGCTCTGCGTATGAGGGAAAGTGATTCCACTGGAACGCAATAACTCAGCATGATTCTAAAAGTCACATGGCACTCAACAGGCACAGAATTCAATCCTCTCAATAGCGGATCTTTCGTAAGAACTGACTCAGAATATCACTGCAGCCACAAACCAAAAGCTACTTCCTGGAGCCTGCCGGCAAACGTCAGTGACGTCAAAGGGGTGCTTGCTGGCGTTTAAACATGTTTGGGCTGCAGGCCCATTTTCTGGAGTGTGTTCCAGGACCTTAAACTCAGGGCAGCACAACGACGGATGGATCAGTCAGGCATGCAACAACCACATTGGTAAGAGGCCTTCTTGAAGGAATCTCAGTGGGGCTAGATGGTTGTATGCTTACTGCTATGGATCAAGAAAGGGTTCTTGGTCTGAGGCCAGGGCACCATTTAGTCTGTGCTGAGCAGGCACTAGAGCTACAGGATGGATTTTTCAGGATGTCCAGTAAGTGCGGAAAAGGCCTGCTCATTGAGGCCATCATTAGCATTTGCTTAATAGGGGAAAAAAAAGCTCCTGGAAATAGGACAGTCGACACGAAGGGAGAACGCAACATGACTCTATGGAAACCTCTCCGATGCACAGCCACGCCGCTTAACCCTGCCAGCACGTTGCCACGGGCTTACCCAGGAAGTCATAGGGAGGGAATGCAGCATCAGAGACGGGGCGGGAGGAGCGTAAATGTTGGTGAGGCTCAATTCCTTGAACTTCTTCCCGATCAGACTCAGCGCCTTGTCGACGTGATGCTGAGAGCCTGAAAGATAAGAAGTTGAGAGTCAAAGGAGGAGGGTGCACGGGGTGCCCTCCTGCAGCATGGGGGCAGAAACGAGGGGCGCTCCTCCACCCTCTGGCTTCAAGTGGTTTCCCCCCTACACAGGGCTTACAAAGGGGTTCAACAACTCTCAGCCCCCCCACTATACAAACTGTTCCAGCCCCCCCAACTGGCAGTACCTTGGAACCCCTTCTGAGCCAAGGGAGTAAATACAAACATTTCCTGTCTGTACCAAAAAATAGTGTGTGGGTAAGAGCCTGGATGCAAAGCAGTACATAAAACAGGGTGAAGATCAGTGCTCCCATTTTCTTACGCGCACTGGTGCAGCTGCGCAACACACCACTGTCCTATTGGAGCACGTAAAATTCACATGGCAGGAGTGGAGCCAGGGGGTTCAGCGTGCAGGAGGGGACTTACGGCTGGGGCAGAGGGTTGGGGTGCAGGAGTGAGGGGTTCAGGGCTGGGGCAGAGGTGCAAGGGCTCTGGGACGGGGTCAAGATGTGGGGTATACAGGCTCTGTGATGGAGTTGTGGACTTGGGGTGCAAGGGGTGCTCAAGGTGGAGTAGGGGATTGGGGCTTGTCTTAGCTGGATTGCTCCCTGCTGGGGCTGGCTGGAAAAGGCTCCCCTCCACCAGCTGCAGAAGCTTAGTGCTGGGGCCAACCGGAGGGGCTCCCCTCTGCCAGCCCCAGCACCTCCAGGGCTTGGGGAGAAATCCCCCCCCGCAGCCCAGTTCCCTGCGTGGCCAAGGGAAAACTTAGGCCAAAATACTCGCTGTCATGGGATCCTTGTGTGCTGGTTTCTGCTTCACTAAAGGCGGCCATTTAGGAAGCTAGAAAAGTTTTACAGAAACCCCAGAGTGGAGTGGTTCTGTTGTGTGTTTAAATGTCAGTGGTGAAATCCTGACGGCTAATTTCGTGAAGCCACGCAGGAGAGCCAGCCACATCCCTTCCATTAACTTTAATAAGAGACATGGTTAGGATCCTGCTCTGAAAGTCTCAACCCAAACCGAAAATGGCATTGTGCTAGCTAAGGAACATCCTTTCCACTGAGGAAGCTTCACCGACCAGCGCAGCCTCTGTCCACAATGAACCCAGCGCAGAGAGGAACCGAGCATAAAGGGCAACAAGTTTCTTAAAAACAATTTCGTTTTAATACAGCGCCTAAGTAACCAAGACTTTTTAAAGTGATATTTCTTTGTAGAGTGGCCCTTCAAGGATTCCAGTAAATGGAAAATCTTCTCAGCACCCCCAATCATTTACAAAAGTATTTTAGCACATTTATTTGCAGTGGTTTCTCTTGTCCAAATCTACGCAACTTAACAGGTATTACGGGGGTGATGAGTTCACAGTTAAGAATGGGTTCCGCTCTGCCGTTGGCTGTCCAAATGCAGCATAAGGCTATGCCTACGCTGTGGAGATTATGTGGACACAGCAGGGCCTTGCAGAGTGGAACAGCGCCTCCTGGAATCAAGTATATGAGCAAAGCCCTCTTCCACCAACACCTCTTTCAGGCATGGCCTATGCTGGAAGGCTATCCTGGCATAAGTGCATCAGGCAGGCATGTAAACCGCCACGCTCCTAACGGGACGAATCCACTGTGACCAAACCCTCAGGCTACGTCTACACTACAGGCTTTTTGCACAAGAACGGCCGCTTTTGCGCAAAAATTTGCAGAGCGTCTACACTGCACGCGTGTTCTTGCGCAAGTAAATGTACAGTGAAACATCAGAAAAAAAGAGGGCTTCTTGCGCAAGAGTTATTCCTCTCCCCATGAGGAATAAGCCCTGTTGCACAAGAGCTCTTGCGCGAGAAGGCAGTGTGGACGGGCAACAGGGGTTTCTTGCGCAAGAAACCCCTATGGCTAAAATGGCAATGAGAGCTTTCTTGTGCGAGAGCGTCCACACTGCCATGGATGCTCTTGCGCAAAAGCACATGACCGTGTGGACGCGCTCTTGCGCAAGACCTTTTGCTCAAGAACTCTTGCGTAAAGCAGTTCTTGCGCAAAAAGCCTGCAGTGTAGACGTTTGGTCAGAGAGGATTCTTCCCATCAGGAGCACGGCGGTTTCTGTTTTTAAATACATGCCTGCCTGATGCACTTAGGCCAGGATAACCTTCCAGCATAGGCCATGCCGGAGATAAGCTCCCTAGGGCAGGGACTAAGTCTAAACCTATACGGCAAAAAGGGATATAAAATATAGGCGAAGTGAACGACCCAATGGCTGCAAAGAGTCATTTCACTTTGTCTTCACCTAAATCCTGTCAGCAGGGGATTAGCTAGGTTCTAACACATTGTAGGCTACATTCCTGCACTAGTGCTCTAGCTAGCTTCTAAAAACAGCAACTAAAGACAGTACGTATCCGAGGTGTGAGTGTTGGGAAAGCTCATGCAGCTGGCGCTGAAGCACTCACCTAGGTGTCCTCATGGCTATTTCGTAGCCGACAAGCCAGCTTATAACTTGTGTGGGTATGCCTGCGTGTGCTGCAAATCACAGCCCCAGCCGCAGTGTAGACCAGTCTCCCCCAACCAGTGCTGTGAGTACCCTCAGGGATACTCGAGAGAAGTCGGGAGGGAAGGGGGTGATGTCAACAACTGAATTTTGGAGAAAACTGAATTTTTGTTTTAAATTTTACAGCGCTTTATTATTTTTGTACTTTTTACACCCAAAAACTTCGTCGCCTGCCCGGCTCCGATTAAGTTGTTGAAACAAATGTGTTGCAATGGTAGAAAAAAAAATGTGTGAGAGAAAACTGTAGGGGGGTACTTTTGAAAGAGGGGTACTTTATAAAAAAAGGTTGAGAAACACTGGTGTAGCGGTAACCTCCGAGGCACTCCTGGGGCAGACACATGATTAGGAAAAGAATACTAATATCCTGAGGTGTGTACACGTTTGTGGTAGAAGGGTTTGGGAAAACGGTATCCTGTAAATCTTGTCTGCAATAGGGAAAGGTGGGCATTGTACAACGCCCATTAGCTGGTTGAGGTAAGCTAGATGCTCTCCCCCACAACTGTAGTGTGTCCCCCACAACTGTAGTGTGTCCTAGCACAGAGATGGCCTCGTATTGATACTATTGGAAGCATTAGCAGTCACAATTTGAGAACAGGTTCCATGTCCAAGTTGCAGTCAGCTCACAGATCTAACCGCCCAGAGGTTAGATGTCAGACAACAGACCAACACCACAAAACGAACACAAAAAACCCCAAGACACCCACACACAACTTGCAATCATTTCGCTTACCTTCTATGTGACAAATCTGGACGTCCTGGGTGTAAGGTAGTGTTGAAATGTAAATTTTGGCACCAGAAGTTTGCTTCAGAAAACTCACATACCTCCCCTGCTTCCCAATCAGCCGGCCAACCAAATGCTTGATGGAAAGATGGAGAAAAGTCACCATTAGGAGCGAGACCAGCAGTTGGATTTTTAAATCATCCATGGCACTGACAAGCAACGCAACCGATCGTACCCTTTATGAAAAGGGGCAGAACTAGATGCCTGAATAGCGATCACAAGTGGCTCAAATGTAGTGGTCTGATGGACAAAGGCAGGAAACCAGCTGCAGTGTCTTAATTCTTCCCAATTATTTATTAGAATAGATTTCAGTTTACTTGTACAGAACCTTATCTGCCTGTAGTTAGGCAGAACTTCTGTGGGTAAAGTCTACTTGCTGGTGTGATAATCCCTGCATTCAACCCAGCTCAACTCTTTAAGCAAGCGTCATTCAGTACTTAAACTAGAAAGGTGACCTGTATCAATAGTAATGTGAGCTACTGTCAGTGCTGTCCTTCAGAGGCTATCTTCTATAAAGGTGGTAAAATCTCCCCACAAAACAAGGAATGTCTCTACTGCAGGGGTGGCCAACTCATCACAGGCAAAGAGCCAAAATAGTGAGACACATAGCGTAAAGAGCTGAGGGGGAAAAAAGTTGTCGAGAACAACGACAACAACAAAAAGCAGCCCCAGCCACCTCACTTGGTCGACCAAAAAAGCCCCAACCCCTGCTCTAAAATGCAGAAACTTCAGAAGGGAGAACATAAGAGGAGGATGTCATCAGAATTCCTCTAACTTCTGTCAGTGTGAATTATTTCAGGAACATGTGTAACCCCATTTATTATAGTTAATATTCATAACTCCCCCTCTGATTATCTAAACTACATGTGAGATGCTACTATGAACATTTTCCTAGAAGCAACGAGTGGGGAATCCATCAGAACACAGTGCAGAGCGAGCTTCTACCAAACATAACAGGACTTTGTCCCAGCACAGCTTAGGGAGATCTTGTTTAGCAACCCAAAGCAGTTTCCAATTTACCCACAGTTTGTTAAGTCCATCTTTCCAGTCTGCAGAAACAGCCCATTCAGCGAGCGCAACTCCAGACATGAATAGAACGGCACCTTCTGTAAATCTGGCCCCGTTTCTTCTTATGCCATTGTGCTTTTCATTAAAAAAATTCCCTGAGTTCGTGCTCTAACTAAAACTAATTACAAGTTTCTTCGGAGAAACACTAACAGCCTGCCCTCACTGGCCAGGGATATGGATTCTTGTACTACAGAGCTAATTCCTATGGTGACCAGAGCACCATGACGCCTGTTATGGGCAGCTTTGAGTGTGAGGTGTGGAGGGCACCACGCTCCAGGTGGTGCAGAAGTTAGGGGGAGGGCCAGGAGCAGCCAACCATCTACTTGAGGCTCTTCCCCTTCCGGGAATGCAGCACTAGATTCCCCCTCAGGGGCCCATGGAAGCTGTTGGCACTGGAGGCAACACAGAGCATCCTTCCCAGCCCCAGGGAAAGTTTCTCTTTCTGAAGAGGAGTTCTCAGCTCATTAATGGGAATTGGCACCTTAGACATTCAGAATCTCAGCAGAGCATACGGAAAACCACTTGGACAGCCCCTGTATGCAAGAAAAGCCAAACCACACACTCTACCAAGGATCATGGTATCTGTTTTTCAGGGCTTATTCATTTGGAGATGGGGATTTTTAGCAATGTTTAGTTCTGTGCACGTTTTAATATCGGGGGGGGGGCGCTCTCTATACTGTAACAGACTAGAATCCAGGAGATGCATCCCAGTCAGCGTTCCCTCTCATTTCTTCCATCCCTTGGGGGATGACATTGTTATGTGCAGGGCTCGCTGAACTGCGGCAACCCCCGCTCGCCAGTTGCGCTGTCCAGCGTTCTGTGCATGCGCAGATTGCCCGAACCCGGCTCTTCCGGGTTACAATCCGGGCAAGTAGATTGTATTATTTGTCGAGCCCTGGTTATGTGCACCCAGTGTGGGTGTGCACCACCAGTAGAAACACATGCTGCCAGCTGTGGGTGCTCAGCTAATCAGCTAGGCAGCACCTGAATCTTTCCTGAGTGGTCACCCAAGCACTCAGCTTACTGTTCCCAATCTTCCTCTAACCTAGCCAACACTCTCTAAGGTCAGTGCAGGGGGCTACGGATGCAGAGTATTTGGCTCGTTACCTTTGGCACTTCTATCTCCCATATAGTGAGCTCAGACTTATGGGACTCTCCTCCTGGCTTGGAGTTCAGGCAACTTTCAGTCTTCCCAAGGGCACATCCACTGTCCACAGAATCCATGCTATTTACATCTGAACCTACAAGAAAACAAACCACGCCAGTTTTCACACAGTCTGGATCACCCAGCTCAGACTCCACACAAAATCTGTCAAAACTCCCATTTCACATACATGCCCAAACAGAATCCCTAATACATGTTCACACTTCGTACTCTACCTTGTGGGTCTGCTATTCATTCTCAGCTCTTCGAGGAAAAACTAGCTCTGAGCTAGTTGTGGGAACAGGCCACTAGAAACCCATTTCGTGATCCCCCTAACACCGTGGTCACCAACCAGTAGATCGCGATCTACCGGTAGATCTCAGGGGCTCTAAGAGTAGCTCTTGAGCCCTCGCTGAACTGCACGCCTGCGCAGTACATTTACATTAGATTGCCTCATGTAATGTAGGCGGGGCTTCAAGGAAGGGGCGGGGCAGTAGATCTTCGCCTGTTCTGAGACTTAAAAAGTGATCTTGGGTGTAAAAAGGTTGGAGACCACTGCCCTAACACCTCCAGAAGAATTCCACGTGAGAAGAAATTGGAACCTAATTAGGAAGCACAAGCATACGCTGTAATGCGAGGGGCTGAGGGCAAGACCCCAAGAGTTTGTGCGGAGTCAGATACAGAAGCCCTGGGTTATTACTGGTAGAACACAAACCCCATACAGCCGAAGTATCTGAATTATGTCCCCTTGGAATTAATAGGGCTGGTGCTGGAATACGAGCTGTGAGGAGACTTCTTCAAACTTGAAACTCCCTATGGGTTATGGGGGAAAAGGGAAATGGAGTCTTTCTTATTGGAGGCCTCCTGTCATCACATTATGGCTGCCATGGACCAGGACAGAAGCAGAGAGAGGAATAAGCCACCTCCGAAGAGCCACGGCTTTGCTGCAGGCCACACGTGTCCTACTGAGAAGCACCCAAGCCCTTCAGAGCCCTCTATTCAGCAGATAGGGTTTGGAAACATCAATGAGATACCCCCCACAAACATCAACAAATGACAGACTGAAAGCTCTTTATGGGCAGTTTTGGCCGCTTTGATGCAAAGCACAGACCCTTCTCTCAGCGTAAACTGGATGTGGCATGGTTGTGACGCTCCTGAGTCCTCCCCACTGTGGCTGGAAGGGGGAGGACATCTTTAGAGCAATCCAAGGGACCACCTCCAAAGACGCATGGAACGTTCCAGCTGCAAAGAAAACTCCCCTGAAAGGGCTTCCGTGTAGCACGAACTAGGCACCTCCCAAGCCACTGCATGAGGCAGAGTCCTGCTGAGGCTAAGGCATGCTGCTCCTCATTCCAGCTATTAGGGTTGAGGAAGCCTCGGATGGCCAAGGGGAGGAAGAGGTTAGTCATTTAGGGTGTGCCTAGACTACAGGGTTTTGTCGACAAAAGTGGACTTTTGTCGACAAAACTATACCTGGGTCTACTCTGCCGCTGAGTTCTGTTGACATAACATCGACAGAACTCAGCAGTTTTGTCGATGGCTGTAAACCTCATTCGACGAGGAATAACGCCTTTTGTCGACAGAGTTCTGTCGACAGAAGGTGTTATTGCATCTACACGGTCATGTCGACAAAACGGCTTGCTTTGTCGACAGAACTGGATGTAGTCTAGATGCTCTGTCAACAGAAGCTTTGTCGACAAAAGCCTCTAGTCTAGACGTACCCTTAGGGATGGGATTTGGGGGGGAACCCAAGGAAGAGATGCATGCAAGCCACAAATCTCTCCCATGCAAGTTCCTAGCAGAGATTCATCTGGGCACATGCGATTTAATAAAAGTAAGCTTCCAAGAGAGAGAAACACAGGCCCTCTTTTTTTGAGCTGCGTTTAGTTTGAAAACTTCTAAGCATGCTGATGTTCAGAGGAGCCGTTCCTTCCATGGAAATCGGATTCATGTCACCAGAGCAGATCTTCCCTTGGTACTCCTGAGCCGGGCATGCAGCCTAGCAGTTAGCACAGGGAGTTACCTAGAATGCAAGAGGTCGAGGGCCCTGACTTTTGAATGGGGAATCCAGAGGTACCTGGTGCTTAGCACCTGTCAGCCCAACAGATGCAATTTTGAGGGTTGCAATTCCGGGTTATGATTCCCCTAGTCAGGCAACCTCGCCTCCCAGAGGCCCAAAACTAAGGTAGCATCTTCTACCTGGGAAGGATAGCCTACAGATGTAAGTTGTAGGGATGAGCATTACAAGGTCTATCAAGCAGTAATGCAAGAAATCTACAGGCCCAAGGGAAGAAATTAGCTTAATCACTTTACACAAACTATGTGGCCGACAAGCTTTACCATACATAGGTCAGCCAGCAGCGACCTCATGTCCCAAAATACCTTAAGACCACTGATGAACAAATCCATCGACTTGTAGCCACAAGAATGCAGCTGACACCAGTTGGGATCTCTTAGGATCGTAACACCAGCACGCCTTCAACTGCATGAATGTTGCTGCAACCGACTGATGGTTGCAAGTCAGAGAGAATTAATATACTGACCTACAGCATCAGGAGACCCCAACATTATTAGGTAGGAGGGATTTAGTTATGGACAAAGGAGACTGAACATGCACAGTGGCTACCAGACCCCATAGCAGGGCTAACCACAGCCTAGCTTGTTGAGGCCCACCTGTTTGGGTTGGATTGGTTGGTGTGTTTACTAAGGATGTAAGAGTGTGGTTAAAAACATAACCGTGTAACCGCTAAGTCACCGTGGTTACATGCGCTGCAGTGGGGGTGAGGCTAGCAGAGACTCCAGTGCTTTGCAGCCGGCTTGTGGAACCTGCAGCTGGAGGGGACAAAGCCGGGCTGGCCATGGACAGGGGCTACTCAGGTGGGCCCTGTAGGGATGGAGCAGTTCCCTGCCCAGGACAGGTGGGGCGCTGTTCCAGCCCCTACTGGTTAATCTTTTACATCCCTACTCTCCAGTCTTGAAAGCAGCCTAAAATCGGGAAGGGACAAAGGTGGTTTAAAATCACAGTAGCACTTCAAATGTAAAGACTCAAAAGACAGCAGGCATGAATCTGTGCTAGTATAATTGGAGCATCTTCACTGAAATTAATGGAACTACACCATTTTGCATTTGTTTGGTATTGGACCCAGTGAATTTAGGTCCTGCTGCCATCCATTTCATGACTTTAGTAGATTCAAACATGTATTATGTGACTTATTTGAAAATATTAACCAAAGACAGCATCCAATTGCCAACTAAACCAGACCTTCAATACAGAGTTGCATTCTGCTAATATAAATCAAATCTATGTTGCTTTGCTAAGGGAGCTCCCAAACGAACAGTACTTGTAACAACTCCTGGGCCTGGTACCCAACCTCAGAGCGTTGACTGGGAGCCCGCATGTAATCCGAATGCTACGTATCAATCGATCAGGCAAGGGAAGAGCGAGACTCCGTTCAGTCAACACTTCTAATTACAAGTTGAGGAGGCAGCATGAGGGAGAGGCCCAGGAGAGCATTAAAAGGACAATAAAAGCAAAGAGCCTATTAATACATTACTGGGATAAGGTTCTAAGAGTCCTCACCTGCCCTCACCTATTGGAGCCAGGTGGCCAGAACCCAACTCAGGATATTAAAGAGTAGTTAGTTAGTAACCACCTAACTGCTAAAAATCCTAGTGGTTACACACTTCCCAGGAGCATGGCCAGCAGCCAGTGAGCTCCAGGAGCCGGCTCCACTGTGCGCTCTGCAGTACAAGCTTTATCAATGGCAGAACCCGCGGCATGGCGTGGCAGCTGGCTCCTTGGGAGCCAGTGCATGCTGGGAGCTGGCTTTTAAGACGGCTCCTGCTCCTTTCCCGGCCCTGCGGCGGCTCGGATACAGAGCAAGCAGCACAGGGTGGCAGCCGGATCCCAAAGAGCCAGCTTTTAAGATGGCTCCTACCCCTGCAGAGGCTCCGATACAGAGTCAGCAGTACAGGGTGGCAGCCAGCTCCCGGCCCTGAGGCTGGCTCGGATACAGGGCCAGCAGCACGGGGTGGCAGCCGGCTCCCCGTGAGCGGGTCGGGAGCAGGTGTGTAACTTATGATAACCGATGAGCTCGTGCCCTTTCACAGTCTTAGTCCCCACTTAGGCTTTCTGAGCCAGACTCAGCTGTGACGAGTGGGGGACACTTTTTAATCCGCTCTCCCCCTACCGGCTTCGCCTATTAAACCCCTTCCTTCCCTTCAGCATGCTATGGGCACGTGCCAAGCAACCTCCATCTCCCTGTACATCAGTGGTTCTCAACCTGGGGCCCAAGGCCCCTGTGGGGGTCCGGGAAGAGGTTTCAGGGACGTCACCCAGCAGGGCCAGCACTAGACTCGCTGGGGCCTAGGGCAGAAAGCCAAAGCCCTGCCTCCTGGGGTGGAATCATAGAACAGGAAGCTCAGTCCTGAGTTTTGCCACCTGGGACTGAAGCTGAAACAATGGAGCTTTATGGGGGCCCAGGCAACAGGCCTGCTTATAACCCCCCAAGACCGGCCCTGTGTCTTTTATATGCAGAAAACCAGTTTGTATGACACAGGAGGGCCATGGAGCATTTATAGCCTGTTTGGGAGGGGAGGGACTCAATAAAACGAGAGAAAGGCGAGAACCCCTGCTCCTCAGTCTGTTCTGGCCTGAGAGTTGCCTCTTCATTGTGAGGTCTCAATTCAGTCCCCCCGTATCGACGTGTTTGTTTTTCCAGCTAGTCGTGTGGAGAAGCAAACGTGGCAAGGCAGGCGTAATTGCTTCCTTCCCGCCCACAGTAGTAAGCAGCGTTTCTTATAGACGGGACATCTGGAAAATGGCTAATCCAGGCGTCTTATTAAAAGCTGCCAAGCCTGCTCGTCAGCAGCGGGCAGCACTCCTGTTACTCCGTAGCAGCTGCAGAATGCAGCCTGCCTAGAGGAGCTGGTTGCACCAGAGGGTTGTATGAAGAATGTCTACACGCAGCTTTTATGGCTCAGGGGCGTGTCTCCACACCCTGTTAGCCTAATACACAGGGAACCGGGGCCACAATTTTTGCTGACAGGGCACTCCACGATTTCGGAAAGTGGTCAAGGGCCACGCTTTTCTATGGAGGGGGCGCAGGGTCTGGGATGGAGGTTGAGTGCAGAAGGGGGCGCGGGGTAGGGGACAGACGGAAGAGAGGGCATGGAGTCTGAGGGCGAAGGGGGGGTTTGTGACGTGGGGCAGGGGATTGGGGTGCAGGGTCCAGCAGAGGGTAGGAGTGCAGCAGAGCAGCCCGATGCTGAAAGAGGTGCGGGGCTGCTCTGAGGCATCAGGCCATATTTTGCCCATCCCTAGACTAACAAGAAATAGCTACCTCTGGCTTTAACACGACTCACCAGCTAGCGAGAGGTGTTGCAGCAAAGAAAGAGAAGAACCCTCACTAGCCACACACGTGTGGACACGGGCGGCTGAGAGGTTCCATCGTGCACCCACTCTCCAAGCGGGCAGACCGAGTCAAAGAGGTTACATTTCAACCAATCGAGTAGTTGATGGAATTTCTACGGCTCTTGGATGTTTCTGAGGGAGAGGTGCAGCAGGAAATCGGTACGAGCGGGGACTACTTTGGTCCCTGCTTGCATCATTTGCCCCGCTGCGAAGACAGTGCTGGAGGGAACCTGCTTTTAAGCCAGCTCCCCCCAACACCAGCTCCTCCCCCTTGGCACCTGTGACACAGAGGCAGCAAGAGGGCGGGGGGAGCAACTAGCGAGTAGTGACTTGACTGCCCAATATGCTCGGGGCGACTAGGCGCTTACATCCGTAGGGTCCGTGCAGACAGCAACGCCGCGGGTCTTATCACACACACACACACACACACACACACACACACACACCCCCACCCCTCAGAAACCAGCCCTAGCACAGCCCTTCAGCCAAAAGCAAGAGCCCAGTGCTTGCTGCTGGACCTCCAGCAGGCCGCTGCTCAGCCGTAACAGGCTTGTGCTTTGGGGGCCCCTGCCTGCCGGGTGCTGGGCTCTCCGACCCAACACACACTGATTTCAATGGGACGGCTTTTCGTGCTTTACACGAATCACGCGCTTAAGGCCTTGCTGGAGGGGGGCCAGCATGCTCGGTGTCTTGCCGAGGTTCTGGGATACCACATGGCCAGCTACGGCTTATCTTAGCCCTCCCTTCACCCTGGAGTGCAACCCTGGGGCATCATTCTACCCCGCTGAGCATACAACTGGTCACTTAACTTGGCAGAGTTCTCTTTCCTGGGAACAGGTAACCACTAGGGATGTAAAATCCTATTTAATTGGTTAACCAGTTAAACATGTTGTTTAACTGATGGGGGAAGGGGCACTCCAGGCCGGTTGGTGCAATCCCCCACTACTGCTGGGCTGGTGTGCCCTCCCCCGCTACCCCACAGTGCAGGGGCTGCTCTGGTATTCTGGTCAGAACATCCCTGACCCATGGCTGGGCCCTGTGGTTCTGAAGCAGGGAGCTGCTCCAGGTTAACTGGCAAGCCTCACCCTTAACAGGTTAACCATTCACCTCTCTAATACAAATGAGAGGTTAACCATTCACCTCTCTACCAATGAGCAGGCCTACTAAACTGTGATGAGATCCAAATCTGCGTCCTCCAAGCAGAACCTGCCCAGTGCTGTACTAATGTACCTCCCACCCATTGTGTTTTCGGTGAGGCTCTTAAAGAGATCTGAACCCTTACCTCCTGAGTGGTCTGCATCTGTCTCTGCTGTCCAGGGCTTTTCGTGTCTCAGATCGGCACTGTCCCCTTTCAGCATCCCATTGCTGTATGGCACTTCCTCGTCCCCTAATATAGGGGTCTGGAGTTCCTCGCTCTGTGCCATATCCTGCTCCATAGAAGCATCCTGGATCCCAGACGTGCTCAGCAAGTCTGAACGCTGGCTCGAGAGCCGAGACAGCGACGTGCTTTGCAAAGGATCCTCGACGCTCGTCCCATCTTCAGACGTACATGCGCTGCACCCGGAATCCTCCGTCGCCACGTGCGATTCTTCCAATGCCTCTCCGTGGTTTGTCACCAAAGTCCGGTTGTCTCCTTGGCTTTCACTCTGCGCAGATTTCTGTGGCCGACGGTCTTTCGGGTCTCCCGGCACCGGGTTAGATAAGCGCCCGTATTTCAAACAGCTGGAATACGACGCGTAGCGATTGAGTTTCTCTTCTGGCATCACTGCAACGTTCTCGGTGGGAACAGTTTTGTTCCCTTGGCTCGATTCCACGACAAGCATCTCATTGGATGAAATGCTCACTCTGTCCAGCGGGGTCTCAACCCGGCTCGCTGTGACTTGACACAGCCTACCAGACACCTCGCTGACTGAATTAGACAGCACTTCCTCAGTGGCTGCTAAAATTACTTTGGAAATAATCTGTATGGCTACTTGCTCGATTTTCTCCACTTCGTTTTTGTCCAAACTCACTCCTTCAATTCTCTCTCTTTCCAAACTATCCCCTTTTGCTTGCGTATCCCTGTAGCACTTCTCTTCTCTTCCCTGACATTTAAGCACAGTACTGATGGTCATCTCTGATATCTCTTCTTCCCCAGATAGATCCGAGCAGGCAGACTCTACGCAATTACTCGGTGATTTCTCAACTATCAACTCTCCCTGCCCTGGGACAGTGCCTTCAACATCCTCACTATCATCTTCATCTAGTACAGTAGGCTGGGCAGTGGCTGAGTTCTCTGGTCCAGAGCCAAGGGCTGGCAAGCAGTCAGTCTCTGAGGATGTCGCTTCTGGGCACTGGATTTCCCTAGACGGATTCTCCGAAGAGTCGTGTGTCATTTCTACTGCACTATTTTCCCTGGTCTTTCCCAGAGACTCTCGTTCTGACTCTACCACTGAACTCAGCAGCTGCTGGTCTGGGATTCCACTGAAAGTCGACTCCGGTTTGGCGCCAACCACAGAGTTGTCACAGCACCCTTCGCTCTTCGGGGCTGGAGGGGGAGATACTTGTGCAAGGGACCCGGTTTCATCTTCAGACGCTGCACCTTCCAGTTTTTCACTGTCGTCATCCTCAAACGTGCCCGATTCGACGGTCGTTACTGCTGTGGCTGGAAGGTCCCTGGAGGGAACTAATCTTGGTGGAGCTTCCCATGCTAGAGATGGTGTCATTAACCCTACGGACAGCTGAGAAGTTACAGTTTCATTCTCTGGACAGTCCTCTTCTGACGTCACAGGCAGGTCTTGATTAGCGTTTGCTTCTTCTCTGGACAGAGGTTTCTTTATGGGAGGCTCAAACCTCTGATCTTCCACGCCAGCTAACGTTTGTCTGTCATGATTGCTCGCACGCTCCTTTTTACGAGAGAAAAACCACCACCAGCCGATCAGTGCCAGCACTCCTGGTAAGGCGTATGGGAAGAAAGTGCGGAAGCGTAAAGCCATTTTAGGGAGCCTCAGCAGTTATACCTAGAGAGAAGGAGAGAGAGATGCAACTAGCATTAGGAACTGTATTGGGGGGGTTTTTAAGACAGAGAAGTGATAGTGGGGAATTGCATGGGGATGGGAGATGAGGGAGAAGTCAAGATTTTGCAGAGTCCTCTTTTTTTTTTTTAAATGATTTGCCAAATCTAGCTAGATGTACTAACCTCTGTCTTCCCAAGTCACTGGCTACTTTGATGAAAAGCACTTCTGTTTCACTACATGAGCCCCTCTGCTACATTGGCACAGTCTAGCACAAGGAGCTTGGAGACCTGGGCTCTATTTCAGCCTCTGCCACAGGCTGGCTTAATTACCTTGGGCAAATCACTTAACACCCTTCATCTCTCCTCTATTTAAGACACAAGCCCGTCAGTAGAGGGCCTGTCTTGCTAGGAGCCTCCACTGAACCTAGCACGACAGGGTCTGTCGTCTCAGACTGGGACTCCAGGGGCAGCTTGTAATGCAAATAAAACGTAGAAGGTAGGACGGCTTGAGAGGGTGCCAGCTATTTATCAGAGCCAGTGGGGAAGGCGGGGGTGCACTGGGAAAGAAGGAGCTATCTCTGCAGTGCTTGGGAGAAGGGCAGAGGATGCAGAACCACAGTGGTCCAGGAGCCGGGACAAGCTGGGACTGCTCAGTCCCGACTCGCGCCGCCCCCAGAAGTTAACCCCGCTGTGGCTCTGGCGTTAAAATATAGTAAGAGCTGGGCTGCCTGCGTGCCTGGTTCCTACTACTTTTAAACTACAGAGCCACAGCGGGGGTTGCGAGCGCCCCCCTCCATATCAAGTAGTCGATGGAATTTCTATCGACTATTCGATTAGCTAATTAACCGCTACTTAACATGCCCAATTCAAACCAGTCTCCAGTGCAGTTCAGGGCTTCCTAAGGGCAGGTAATTCCGTAACGTGGGCTACACGCACATCTGTCTGGAGCATCGGGTACCAGGAGCCAACGGGAACAGAGGGATCTCGATGCTGCATCAGACCAAAGTATTTTCCACAGACTGCAAGTTCACTGGCATTCAAACCCAAAACAGATTATTTAACTAGAGAAGGAAACACTCTTTACGTCCTAGAAGAGTTTTTATTTGAGCCACAAGTATCTGCCCTCACCCCATCATTTCAGCCTCCTATCAGACCATTCAGGAGCCAACGGGAACAGAGGGATCTCGATGCTGCATCAGACCAAAGTATTTTCCACAGACTGCAAGTTCACTGGCATTCAAACCCAAAACAGATTATTTAACTAGAGAAGGAAACACTCTTTACGTCCTAGAAGAGTTTTTATTTGAGCCACAAGTATCTGCCCTCACCCCATCATTTCAGCCTCCTATCAGACCATT